TACAATTAACTTTCCATAGGTAGGCTAGCTGAAAGTTTTATGAACAAAAGTAAAAAATAACATAAAAAAGTAAATTAAGTTTAACACAAAAAATTAAATATAAAAAAAATGAGAAAGTTGCCTTTATCTGCTGATTTTCACCAGAAGATGGGCACAATGGATATCACATAGCATTGACCCACAGCATTGGCGTTAATTTCCAAAGTCATACTAGAATCTCCTCACATATCATGTCAGGAGTGGGACTAGAACCAACGCCTCCAAGGAATTTTATGCAACTTTATTGTTTAGGAGCTGACTGAAGTTTGGGTCTTGCCTATCATGGCATTCATGCAAAACCTGCGATTGTCAATTACCTGTTGAGCAAGAGGCGAGCTCCTGTAGGATTTAAATGCAAAAGTGGATAATGATCGACAATCTTGGCTTGGATTTTATCTAATTTGTCTAAGTATTGTTTTTTAACGAGGTTAACTGATTTTTGTTTATCCAAAATACCAATTACTCTTGGCACTTAATTTTAAATGACCAAAAACATATAAATGATGACTAAAATAAAAAACTGGCAGTGTTTTACCAGTAAGCCATGTTTTTTTCCCAGCAACCCTTAGCCAAACTCCACCTGCACCTCAGGGTTCCTTTCTTTTCCCCCTTCCTGACCCGTTTCTGAAGTTTATTTCTGTCCCAAAAATCTAAACTGACCCAGGTCCTGCCATTAAAACATTGTGGGTAGAAATATGGCCTTAAAAAAACACACCCTGCTCCCTAGAAAAGGTTCCTATTGTCGAAAAGCACCTTAATCTAGGTGTTGGATTATTGTCAATAGCCCAGTCCCAAACATGCTGCACTGCAAAAACGATCCAGAAATAAGTAATAATGTCTTAAATTAAGTGTATTTACCCTTAATTTGAGCAAGTAAATAAGATTATTTGGCAAAATAAGATAATTAGATAATATGCACTTGAAATAAGACAATATTTTTTCTTATTATAAATGTTAATTGTCTTGTTTCGTTGGCAAAGTGTCTCAATTACCACCTCAGTTCAAGAAAAAATACACTTATTTTAGGAACAACGTACTTATTTAGATTAACATTTTTTGCAGTGTGCGCAGGGAGGCGGTGAAGAGTTCAATCATCCCTGTAGAGTAATTGTTAGTTAAGATGCAGAACCTTCAGACTTAACCAGCCGTATCAGCCCTGTGACGGCTTCTTTGTCTCCACCAATTACCGAACAAAGGCAGCAGCTCAGCTGTCGGCCTCCTGCATCCAAACAGCTTCATGTACAACAATTTGTACTCACAGCACAGACTCTTAGCAATCCGAACATACATGTGTGCAGGCATGATGAGTGGTGCAATAAACCCCATTTGGACACCCACAGCTGTGCCCTAAAACAAACAAGACTGCAAGCACTTGCAAACACTTACACCCACACTCCTATTGTATTAACCAAAACAGTGCCCCTCTCTCATTCTCCTCCTCTCCCTTCTCTCTCGTCATCTTGTTCGCCTCAGTTTCTCTCCACTTGTTTTTCCCTCTTCTCAAAGTTTAAACTCATTAAGTGTAATGATATTGGAGACTCAATTTTACATAGCTCACTCATCAACCAAGTGAGATAGCAATAAAGGCGAATGGCTCCACCGAGGCCCTAACACTGCAAAATAAATGATGCGTCGCAACGGAAATGTAATTAATTTAGAGGCAGTATTGATAGTCCTGCCATACACGGCATTATATTTTTTAATGCGGCTTAACATCTTGATTATTTGGGGGGGAAAGGTGGGAGGGGGGGAGCGGAGACGACGCAGTTCGTGATGAGACCGCGCTTAAGATGCCCTGACGAGTGTTTGTTCCCGCAACTGCACTTTCTCTTAAGCTTTTCATTATACCGAGACGATAAACACCTCTAAGGAGGAGACGCTGACTTTACGCAGGTATAAATGAATAGCAGGGAAAAGCACAATCTTGCTGTGAGATTATGTTCATACTAGAAGAAATCCTCATTTCTTACAATAAGAATTTCCTTCCATTTTTCTGGTGGGGTAAAAAAAAAAAGAGATTCACAAATATAAAAGTGGGATATTGTTTCCTTTTAAAGGTGAATTGTAAAATTATATTTTTTTTTTGGAAAAGGAGGTTGATTTACTGTTTGTAATTTAGCACAGCAGTGCATTTATTATGATGACTTTAATGATGAATCTTGCTGACAGGAAAACATGATACATGGGCTTCACAAGAAGGAAACCATACCAGATTATTTTTCTATATTTTTTGTAAATCCGATAAAACCATTTTTTTCACCATTCAAAAAAACAATCTTTTAACAGTCTGGGGTTGTCTGGACCTGCGAGTGGGTCTAAGGCAAGGCAAGGCAAATCTATTTGTATAGCACAATTCAGTACAAAGACAATGCAAAGTGCTTTACTTGATTAAAATATAGGAAAATGAAACAGAATCAAAGCAAGTAGGAAAAAACAATTAAAAAAATGCAGAAACAAAAAAGATCAAAAACAGTTGGACTAAAGAAAATTTAAAAAAAAGTTGAACTAATGATGTTTCAGTTGAACTGTTTAACTAGAACAGTC